GGTGTAACACCCGGGCTCAGGGCTTAATAGGATTAATAGGATACTCGTACCAACAAGTTGCAACTTCTTTTCTGGAAGCCCATCTCTTAAGAACTCCAAGGTTAAGCGAGCTTGGCCTAGAGCGATGGGTGACCGACCGGGAAGTTCTTCCCAGGGGCGCATGAGTGAGGACAAAATGCGCAGAAAAGACTAGTGTTGGTCTGTGAGGGCAGTCTATGTCCTAGGAAAGCTATCAGATGTAAGCGGGCCCAGCCTCGGAGAGGTGGGACGTTACAGCTGGTATCAGAGAATGGTTTAGCGTGTTACTGTTCACAAGTGTATTTAAAACAAAAAGGCATTTGAAAAACGTGATTTCCAAACTATAAAGTGTGCCAGTGGTCATATCCTTTATGCCTAGTTAAGGACTCTAGGTGGCTTAATTAAGTACTGACTTGGGGTTCTTGCATCATATTTCTCTTTCGTCGCTCATACGGCGTGCTATTGTATGAGTGCCACTTGTTTGAGTGGTAATGTATGGATCAATTGCCTCTACGCCTCGGTAAGTGTGAGTTGTAAGAGCATGATCGAATACACCGCTGATCTAGGGTGAATGCTTATATGATGCTGGAGTAATTACATGTTCTACGCATGTTTTACAAAGGTATCTCATGTATGGGTCTTCCGTCTGTGGAGGCGATGCCGTCAATAGGACGATGGTTTGGGTAGTTACTACCATTGTACACGTATCTGGGGATTCATGTAGAGCGTGTAGATAAAACTTTACTGCTTTTATGCATTCATTGGGAATTGGGCTGAAATGAATCTTCTGCAGGTACATAACAATGCTATCGTGTAGAACGTATTAGTTACGTATTTGAGAGATCGTTTGTATGCCACCGAATTCGTCGTTAGAAATTATTTATTCCTAAGTTTGTGAGAACGTACGGCACATACATACATCATGTTACTTGTGCATTTCATTCATGTCATGCATTCCTCCCCTTATAAATTGATTATCTCAATTTGATAAAAGTTGTATCACCTAAAATATGTTTCCCCAAGGTAATAAAAGAACTTTTGCTACAGATGGCCCGCACGAAGCAGACCGCCCGTAAGTCCACCGGAGGAAGAGCACCTCGATGTCCGTTGGCCATGAGGGAGCACCGCACCACGGACACCTTCTTGAGCGAGCTTGGCATGCCGACTTTGCTTTGGAGAGTGCTCCATGATGTGGGGTACCCAGAGGGTCAAGAGCCGGTGTACTCCTAGAATGAGAGCCAGTTGGCAGAGGATGGACTTGCAGTGGTAGAAATCACGGTTCCTACTCTCGGTGATGCTCCAGATTGGGATGGTTGGCATTTGGAGTTTGAGGGTCGCACTCCAGCTGAGGGTGTAGAGGGAGCAGCCTTCCGTGTCATCAGGGACATTATGAGCAGATTTCCCAGTGAGCTTGCAGCAGCTCTAGCTGGCACTTTTCCTAGGGATGATCCTCGTGATGCCATTTGGGTTCAGCCTCAGGGAAGTGCCCTGGTCAGAGGTCCAGCTGAAGGACAGGCTAGCGACAACCAGGCAATGAGTGCTATGTTCGCCGCCATCAGAGCGTATGAAGGTCTCGAGAGTACCTACTGGACTTTGACTGGCTTGCGTGGTGAGGATAAGCTCAAGGGGAGAAAGCAGAAGAAGAGATAGGCACGTGCTATAGCTAGCTTGCAGGAGCAGTTGGCTGATATGAACTTACAACGAGATCAGGCGGTTGAGAGAGGCGATAGAGCTATGCAATGGGTGCATACGTTGACTCAAGCCAACAACAATGCAGACCGCATGATTGGACAGTTGGTGCAGGAAAGGAATGAAGCCTGGGACGAGAGAAACCTTCTGCGATAGAGGGTCGATGAGCTAGAGGAATACAACGGCAACCTGCACGAGGAGTTTCACGCGCTCTACAATGGGGTTGGCCCATATGCTCCACCAGACGCCGCAGGCATGGATATCGACAACGACAACCGGGGACGAGCCATGTAGTTTCACAGGGGGCGATGGTGGCGTCTCGATCCCGACGATGGCCCCGAGGAGTAGGCTAGTTGCCTTGCGCTAGTATCTAGGTCTGTCGCGATGACCTTTCTTTTGTTGGCATGTAACCTATTGTATGTTGCTTGAGCGTATGAGACTTGGCATATGGTTGGAACTTGATTTAGAATGCGATATCTGAACGCATAAAAAGTCCGATGTATGTATCTTTGGCAATTGGATTGTATGGACGCTGATGTTTGCCGTTGAAGTAATTTGATTAAGTGCTTTGTTGTTTTAATTGGGATGCGATTGTTGTGCCTCTGTTTTATTGTATGAATTTATTCTCTCCGATAAATTGATGCGGCATAATTTTTCCTTCACTCACAATTATTACAGACTTCACTCAATCATTACTTGTTCTTTGAAATATGCGAGATGACAAACACTCGCCGAACCACACGTGATGAGGCATTTGAGACCGGTGCTAGCGGTGCAGGGGACCGGTGGTGGTGGAAACCACGGCAACAACAATGAACCTCCCCATGAACCGCATTTGCCACCTCCTCCCTCGTTTACCCCCGAGATGTTCCTCGCACACCGTTGCTTTCGGGAGTCGGTATAACGTGGAACAATCCCGGAAGAACATGGAGGATTTTTCGCGCACCATCGCCAACAACGTTCAACGTGGTAACAATCAAGGTGGTGGCATGGGAGTGAACCAATATAGCGACTTCAAAGATTTCATGGACACCAGTCGCCAAGTATTCAAGGAAGCAACAGAGTCACTCGATGCTGAGGAATGGATCAACACAATGGAAGATAAATTCCGTGTGTTGAGGATGACTGAGGTGTTGAAAACGGAGTATACTGCACTTCAATTGCAAGGACCGGCGGGAATGTGGTGGAAGCACCATCGCACCACCTTCCCTCCAAATGCTCAGATTTCATGGAGAGAGTTTGCTGAGGCCTTCCGTGGAGTCTATATTCCACCCGGCTGACCGAGATGAAGTTGGGAGAGTTTCTAGCGTTGAACCGGGGCACCAAGACCGTGGACTTAATATTTGCATGCCTTCAACAACTTGTGTCGCTATGCTCCCGACATGGTTGACACAGATGCTAAAAGAATAGCCAGTTTCAAGAGGGACTCAATCCAAAAATGATGAAGCATGTTGGTACCAACAAACGCGTCGATTCAATGACTTCATCAATGATCGTATGCAAGCGGGAGAAGAATAACAACGCGCATGACACCGCAGCCCAAGACACATAAGAGAGCCCTTGAAGGTGGTCCGTCTCAAGCTAGAACACCTATGGGAGGTCGTCCTCCATATCGCCCATCGCACTTTTTGGCGCTAGGTTCCGCCACCTCAAACAAAGAAGTCGAATTTCCGTGGACCCAGAAGCCTTACAAGATGGCGGTGCAGTCCAACAAAAGCGACCAGAAGCTGCGGTACAAAGGCGACTCAAAGGGCTGTGGGATCTGTAGAGACAGTGAGGGACCCTACTATAACCGTGTGAGCAACCCGGCCATTTTTCGAGGTTTTGTCCGTACCCGCCAAGAAGAAGTAAAGCAGACTTATAATGCTAGAGTGCATAGTACAACGGTGGATGAAATTCACGAGGAGAGCCGTCACTGGGTAAGTTTCGTCAACGAAAACCTTGCGGTTGTTCTATTTGATTACGGATCATCGCATTCTTTTTTATGAGTCAAGCATTTTGCGAAACATGAACAACTATGCATGTAATTGGGTTATGGTTACCGTATAAGTTCAAAGCAGGGGCTGATATTTTGACCAACTGGATGGTTCGAGGGGCAACCCTTGAATTAGGTAGCAGGAAGTTCCGGGTGAACTTAATAGTTATGCCTGGATTAGTGTTGGATGTCATTATAGGGATGAATTGGATGAAG